GTAGCTGTTGCCCACCGACGAGGGCGTCGGCCGCAGAGAAGGCGACGCGGTCACGGCTCCGGCTACCTCCGGCCCTGTACCCAGTCAGCCCTTGGAAATACATACACAAAAGACGTGTTTACAGGAAGAGGGGAGCTAACGTACTAAGACGCTGGAGCCGCCGACAGCGGCTCTTTGTTTTCCGAGCCAGCCTTTGGGTGCTTCGCTGCGTCTTTGCAGGATGACGGTGTTGCTGAGGAGGCGCTGGTTCATGTCGTACCACATGGACTTGACCAGTGCGTTTTCGCGGCGCAGGTTTTCGACTTCTTGTTGGAGTTCCACCTGTTTGTTGGAGCACTTGTTACTACCATATCCAAGGTTGCCACGTCGCTGTTCTGGAGAGGGAGGGAACGCGACATACCGAGCCCTTCTCTGACGTCTCCTTCTTTGCGAGCTCGAGTTGCTCGCGAAGTGTGCTGTTGGTTGTGAGTTGATCTTGGAGGTCCTGCGGTTACGGGTTAGCATGGGCGCGAGGAGATGAGTAGAGGGTATGAAAATGGAGAGGTAGTCGGTTGGATAAGTATACTCTGGCAGCCAGGCCAAGGACAAACTTGCCGCACAGTCATTCGACGATTGCATCGTGTAGTACTCGGTGCCGCCCATGGTCGACTTGGTCCTCCGCTTTGGCGAGACTAGCTGCGCCATGCGGCCCCATGTAGTTTGCCCCGTCCCAGCTGTCGAAGTAGACATGTCCGACAGCGACTTATCCTTTCCGAGATGGGTTCGATTTGGCGAAGCCGGCGAGACAAGAGTAGCCGCAGTGAACGAAGGTTCAAGCTGATGTTTCTTCATTGCCGAAACCGCTGCGTCGAACGCGGAAGAAGGCGACTTGCTATGAGAGATCTGTTTGTTACTTACCTTCTTTGCTTTGTCCAGAGCTGCTTCGGAGGATAGCACAGTCTCGGCGATCTCCGAACTCGTGGTATCTAGCACTTGCGGTTGTACTTCTGCTGGGGCCTTGATGACAGACTCTATCCGTTCACGCATCTCCCGTATCGTTTCGACTCTCTTGAGCTCAAGAAGCTCTGGCGGTAGGTTTTGGCGATCGAGCAACGCTGCTCGTAAGAGACCCTGCTTCTCCGCGTTTGCAACTTCGAGCTCCCGTAGTCTGTCGTTGGTCCTCTCTTGCAGTACCAGTAGGCGCTCGTGTTCCTTTTGGACAGCAGCTGTGCGCGTATCGTCGTCGATGTCAGATTCTAGCAGAGTTAGCACAATCACATAGATGAATCGAAATACATACTCCTGTTGAGTTCGTTGCGAAGTTCCGCCATTTGCAGGTCTTGTTCTCGTAACCGGCGACGAAGTTCTTCCAGCTCGGTTTGAGCAGTCTGTAGCTTTTCGTTCTGTTCCAAGAACGGTCTGCAGACATGTAATTAGCAATGCCCAATCCACATGAAGTGGTCACCTACTTCTGACTGTTCTCATCCTTCTCTGTCATCATATCAGACCGTAAACCCAAATTCTCCTGCATCTGCTTGAGTGTTTCGCTTTCTAGCGACTTCAAACGGACGTTCAAGATATCGACCCGTTGTTGTAGAGCAATCGCATCTGCGCTCACCCGTCCATCAGACGCGGGCTTCGTGTCGGTGTCCTGGTTGGCGTTTTCGTCTTGTTCAAGCTCGTCTTCCAGGCTTCCGCCACGATCAGCATGATTGGATGATTCTAGTTCCCGTATCCGTTCTTCGAGCTCCTGCTTGGCATCTTCTGCCTTGTATTGTAGCTCGCGAGTCTGCTCCAACTGTTTCATAAGGAGAAGGTTTTCATGTTCGATTCGGGTGCGCTTGCCCTTTTCTTCAAAGATGGCCTGCTCTCCGTTGGCAAGCGTCTGACCGTTCTCTTTGATGATGTTCTGCAGGATATCGATGCGCTCCTCGACGCCTTCGAGCTGAGCTAACCGTTCACGAGCTTGTTGGTAGTCTTCGCGTAGCGTCTCTAGTTGTTTGGTTTCCTTGGTCAGAGACTCGATCTTCTTCTTCAGGTTCTCGTTTGCCTTGGCTTTCTGGCTCAGCTCGTCGCGTTCGGCCTTGACGACTTGCAGCTGATCTCGCAAGTCCTGTTTGGATCCTTCCTCGCCCTCTAGCCGATCGAGACGTCGCTTCTGGCTTTCCATGATCTCTCTCGTATGCGCGAGGTCTTGTTCGAGCTGGTCGATGTACTGTCGGTCGCGCAGCAAGTCGTTTCGTAGGTTTTCGACATCGTCGGATTGAGCGCGTTGTGCCTGGCCCGCCCGAACATCGAGATAGGCAGTCGCTTCTGCGACTTCCTCTTCGAGCTTGGATATGCGCTCTCGTGAGGTCTTGAGCTCCTCAAGTAGCTTTCCGACCTGCGCCTTGAGTGCTTGCCTGTCCTTGTTTGCCTCGAATAGCTGTGCCTCCTGCTCCAACTCGTTGCCTGCTGGGGGTGGCTGGCCAGATATTGCTCGTGTGGGCGTTCTATACCCTGAGAGAACTGGCTCTGAAGTCAGCTCGGCATCGACGCCTAGTTCCGACATGCGTTGGTCCAAGGCCTGCATCTCTTGTATGGCTTCGGCAATCGTCTCGGCCGTCTTCTGGCCCAGCTTGGGCATGACCTGCAGCATGCGCTGGTTGCTTCGCGGCGAGAAGCATGCGGCCAGTAGCACAGCCATGGTGAGCTTTGCAACCAGCATTGTTGATCCATCCCTCGCGCCTGCCTTGAGATCTGGTATCATGCGCTTGGTGAGCACGGGTAGCTGCTCGCATTCTTCGCGTATGTAGGTCGAGGTTGTGCGTTCGATGTATTTGAGATTCTGCCATCGCGGTATCCAATTGTCTGATTGGCGGCGGTGGTTCTCTTCGAAATTTGGGAGGGACTCGTTGAAGTAATCGGCGTCGATGTCGGCGAGGATCTGCCACAGTATCTGGCCGTCTTCGAGCTGGCTCAGCGACGTGATTCTGTGGGGGAGGTCGAAGGTGTTGACCTAGACGCGAAGGTCAGCTATTCCACTCGGACGTGTAGGAGGCGGCACGTGGAGACGTACCCAGTCGAGGAGAGCCTTGAGCAGCTCGGGCTTGAAGTCGTCCATGGTGGAGTGTCGCGGGGCCTGGTACCCGCGTGTCGGTCTGTCAATGCTGTTATGCGGTGCGAGTAGAGTGAATAACAGTCATGCATCTCGGTGTCTGTGGTTTTGCGGTGAAGTGTACGTGCTCCACCATGCACAGGCTGAGTCCTTGCTCGAGGACGTGTCGCGCGCGTCGGTGAGGTTGGGAGCCCGAACGCTAAGCCGGAATGCAGCACATGCCCGCGGCGACGTCTTGAATCCGTGTGTAGCGAGGCGTAGAGTCGTGCGATGGGCGTCGGGTGAGGGGCATCAGCCTGACATTCCCTAATTGCCTTTTGACAGACGGAACATGACGCGCATAAAGCCGCCGCTGTTCTGAGACGACGTGCACGGGCAGGGCCACCCGCGGGGAAAGAGCCGCTGCAGGGTTCTACCACCTTACCCTACGGTGATCACAACAGTCTCGAGCGTAGCAACAATCTGCAGTAGTGATGCGTATGGCTGTGGAATACCTAGGTGTTACCCACAGCCAATGTTGAGGATGGGTCTAATATGTTCTACATAAATCAGAATACTGATGGATTGTCTAGTTGACATTCTCGTCCAACTCCACCCTGTCCGATCCTTGAGCAGACTCCAGACTCCAGTCGTATAATCATGAGCGAAATTAACTAAAGGGCCGTCGTTCCTTCCAATTTGTTGCCCTCTTCCTTGCCCATCCAGCCTACTCCTTGTTGTTCTGCGTGGTGACGATGCCATCCTCCTCGATCTCGCACTTGTACACGTCGCTCAACGTCGACACCATGTCGAGAGCGGCAGCGGGGGCCGTGGCAGCGAAGCCCTTGATGATGTTGTACTCGTGGGTAATGACGCCTGGAATTATGTTAGCACATGTCCTCTACCGGTATCGCATGCCTCGTACCCTTGGCCTGGCGGATAGCCTCCTTGCTCTGCTCGACAATGTCGTCGGGTGTGTCGTTGGGCCAGCTGATGATGACGGAGCGATGGGGTGCGCTTGCCATGACGAAGGCAGCGAGGAGCGCAACGAGGAAGGAGAAGATGGCGAAGCGCATTATGTCTTGGGCGACTTGGGGCTGCGGTTGCGGTGCCGGAAGACAGTTAAGAAGAGTGAGAGCGTCAGGCGGCGGTCTTATCGTATTAAAATGCTTTTGGACGTCGCGAGAGGTGTATTGGTGGTGCTCGGCGTGGTTTGTAAGTGTCTAGGAGCGACTGGGCAGGTGCATGTTTCAAATGGCTGGTCCCGAGCCGAAGTTCAAAGCGCGTCATCGCCTCACATGTCACACGGCAGTCGCTCCGCTGGACCCCTCGTCACATCGATGCAACCTTGGCCACAATTCATTGCAACATCGTCACTGCCCTGTCTTTGTTGTTTCCATTCACCCCTACGATAGTACAACATCACGCAAGTGCATATCAAGTTTGGAATATGATCCTGTATTCATGTACATAGACTTGCCACCTAGCTCCAGGCTCACGGCAAGTGCCATTGCAAGGGGTAGGTGAAAATGAAGAGGCCGCCCATACGGCGACAGTGCTCGTGCTGTTCGTTTTCGTGCTCATGCTGAAACGTTCCTTTTAGTGCACCAAGGTGCCGTATCGTGAAGACAAGTGATGGCTGGGGAAAATGAAGGGATAGAATACAATCAATGAAGGGGCAAGGGAAGAACGCCGTGTAGCCCAGATCCGTACGCCGAATATGCCGAATGCTGCCGAGGCCGCGCGATGATGCTCGTGTAGTCGTACTATACAAGATCGATCCGCCCAATCAGACAGACAGGACCGATACATGGAAGAAAGATCAAACCATCAAGAAGACAACGCCAACACCAGTGTACTCTACTGGTAAGCATGTTGCGTAGTGATGTGCTTTTGGACAGACCGTAGCTCGTCAAATCATAACCTCGTTGACCGCTTGGCTCTTCTAGAACCAGCTGCCGTTGCCGCCGTTGGTCTGAGGGATGCCGTACTGGTGCTGCTGCTGGTAGCCAGCGTAGCCCTGACGGTTGTCCTGAACCGGGTTGTGCATGTGGTGCGGGTTGCTCAAGCGGTGCGGCTGGCGGTGAGGTTGAGGTGAAATGATGCTCGGACCATAGTTTGCGGTCGCAGTATACATGGGTGTCTGGTAGCCAGAGGAACCGTTGGGAGGCTGGTACTGTGCCGGGGCCTGGTTGAAGACCGAGCTCGACTCAGAACCTGGCCCAGCGCCGGGTGAACCTTGGCCAGATGAAGTACGGCCAGTGTAGGCAGCCAGGCGGCTCTCGCGCTCGCTAACCTTGCTCATGATGCGACGACCGTAAGGAGTCTGGCGGATGGATGGCAGAATCGGACGCATGGCCTCGATCAGGTGCACGCACAGCTCGGCGGGAGCAAACTCGAGTGCAGTCTGGATAACGTAGTTGCCGTAAGAGTCGCGCATGAGCTGCTCAAGCTGTTCGACGTCAAGCAACTCCTCAATCATCATGCCCTTGACGTGCGGCTCAGCGCAGCGGATGCACTTCTCGATAACGTTGGAACTGAACTTCTGCTTGGACAGCTCGCAAATCTTGGTCTGGAAGCCCTGGCACATGGGGGTCGTGAAGGCCGCATCGTTGAGGTCGAGGATGTACTGAACCACGTAGTTGCCAAATGGATCTTGCACAAGGTGGAAGCTGTGGGCAGTGATCTTGCGGATCAAATCGACCTTCTGGAAACCGACTGCGTGATCAATGCAACGCTGTAGAACACAGCATCCATGGCGGTGGGTACCAACAGTGATGCAGTTCTCGCCTACAGCATCGAAGATGAACTGGGCCTCCACAGACTTGAGGTGGTTCAGGCACTTCTGAATGACGTGGTTGCCATTCAGATCCTGGATGAGATCGACAACCTGTCCAGACAATGCGTGAATGATCATCTGAGTCTGGGGACGGATTAGCTCGGGAGCGGGATAATACCGAGGGTCATAGTATACCTGATCATCGGTGGAGATGAACTCGATCATCTTCTGCAAAGCGCGAGTGCCGTGCTGATTGAACGCAATCTGAACCATCGCAGGAGAAGCGTTGCGGACAAGAGTGTTGCGCTGCTCATCGTTGCAGTACTCCAGCAACTTCTGGCAGAGGTAGTTGCCGAAAGGATCAGTCATGAGTTCAACGACGTGAGGGGCAGTCTCATCAAAGATGATCTGGATGTTCTCCGCGTTGCGCTCCTCGAGCTTCTTCTGCAGGAACCGACAACCATGTTGATCCTTGCACAGACTGTAGATCTCATGACGGGGCATGGTCTTCAGATCGTAGTTCATGTACTTGTTGGCGTCGTTCTGCAGACGACGGCTCTGGATGACGCGAGCCTGGCTGTCCTGTACGCGACCGCCTGGGCCATAGGTAGCGTATGGGTTGTACTGCGACGGTCCGTTACCGTACATGTTGGTGGGAGCGTAAGCAGTGGGTCCACCGTACTGAGGACCGGGCCCACCTCCAAGGTTGAGACCATTCAAAGCACCGTTCAGCATGTTCATACCGTATCCATAGTATCCTGGGTTGGCAGCGGAAACACTCGAGTACTGTGACATGGCTGGTGAACCGACAGTCGACGAGACTCCGCCGTTGCCGTTGGCAGCTGAAGTCATACCAGGACCGAAAGGTGCAGCGCTTGCGTGCAAGCCTGACTGCGGAGAACGGTACTCAGACTCGCGATTACCGAGTGAGAGGTCGCGGCTGTTACGGTTGGACAGGACATTTGATGGAATGCGACCAAGGCTAGCGTTGTGGTTGTGGAACTGCTGCGAGTGCGTGAAACCGATACTATTGGCGCCGTTCGCTCCATTCTTCAGGGTCGGAACGTCGTTTGTTGAGTACGACTGAGTCAACTTGGGCATGCCGTTGGTCGGGCCGCCGTAACTGGAGCGCTTGGACTCGTTGGCCTTGGGGCTGAAGCTGAACTCGACCGAGCGACGGTTGTTCTTGGGTGTAGTCTCGGCGCCGTTGGATCGACCGGACTCATAGTCGTCCATCTGAGAAGCTTTACGGAAAGTGTTAGCAGGAAGGGACTGTTGAGCCTGACGATGACGGTGTCCGTTCCAAGCAGTGGACTGAGCATCCGGGCCAGGGGACTGTGAAAGGGCCAAATCAAGTGCAGCGGAAGAGGCAGAGAGGTTCGTACCATTACCAGCACCATCGCGGCGGACCAAGACTGGGAAGTCGTCCTTGGTATTACCCATCTGGAGGAAAGCCTTCTGATCTTGAGTGGCAGCTGATGCGTCATCACCAAACAAGAAGCCGGCAGTATCAATATGACCAAGAAGCGAGCCCACATCTGGAAGATTTCCGCGGTTGCCGTAGTCCATTCTAGTAACTGGCATGGACATACGGTTGTTCCTATTTGGGTTAGCAGTGTTTGAGGTGATGTTGTGCTGGGCCAACTTACTTGCGCGCGGCCGGACTCAGAGGAGTAAAGTCGTCGTTCTCAAAGTCGTCGTGCTCCTCCTCAGAGTTGCGACGGGATCCTGGCATCGAGTGCGAAGGCAAGTTGCCGTTGCTCTGGAAGTTGGCGGGAGGGGAAGTGACCTGGGAGTTGGCACGGCTACCGCGTGTGGTCATACCCGGGTTGATACTGGACATGCTGAAACGGTTCGGACGCGACAAAGCGGACGGGAACCCGTTGCTCTCGTTGTACTCGGGCGGGGTAGTGGGCTGGCTATGCGCAGGTCCGCCGTAGTGAGCATCAGCCGAGAATCGGTTGTTGTCACTCTCGCCGTGCTGGGCTTGCAAGTTGAGGAGCTCCATCTCAGCGTCGAATCGCCGTTTTGCTTCTTTGAGATACTCGTGTTCAATCCGTTTTCTCTCAAGCTAGCAAGCTGTTAGCTGGTCACACGGACCGGCGAGGGTGTTTGAGCGCGTTTGTCGTGAGGCAACAGCGTCGCTCGTGACGTAGGACGATGCAGATGGGAAGAGATGAGGATATAGATAGGGAATAGAGTCTCAAATGAGACAGAGAAATGTACAGGAGTAATGATAGCAAAGCTAGCTTTTGGAGAGGCGGACTTTTGTGGTGGTGTGGGAGAGACAAAGGCAAAAGACAATTGTTGGTCAATATGGGCGTCGCCTGGACAGGTAGCCTTGGCAACGACTGCAATCTTACTTCCAGTAGGATTCTTGGGTGACAAGTGAGAGACGCAGAAAGACGCAGTGAAGTAGACTTACAACTTGGAGCTTGTGGTACGTCTGTTGGGATTGGTCGTTAGCCCGAATTCTTGGTCACCGCGTATGTACAATAGCTAACTGACAGCAGCTCTACCAGCGCAGCCATTTTATGTCGTTTCAAGTATATCCGACATGGCTGCGGTAGCTGCTGAGTACCGACATGCAAAGCGCCGCGGAGCCCCAACACTGAACATCCGCCTCTTACGTGTACGAGAGTGCCCACATACCGCTGTAGTAAACTCGGCCGGCTCTGCCGCTTGTCTACGTTGTTGTCCGATCGGCGACAGAGGCGTGCTCATGGTCGGAATGTTGTTGGTCGTGAAGCGGCGCTGCAGGGTCGCGCGGCCATCGCCGTTCTGAGCGGCGCGATTCAGGGAAAGGAACGACTGCTCTTCGCGCGGGGATCTGAGGCCGTTGCCTCCTCCCATGCCTTGGTAGGCCATACTGGCTAGAATACTAGAAATACACTGCCGTCACGTCAGCGCGACTGCCCTGGGAGCTGGTGTGGGGGATTGGCGGGCGGTGTGAAGTTCACATGGCAGCCGCGACCGCTTCGCTGGAGACACGGAAGGCGCATTTACATACAGATAATTCGTACACGGGGCAAATGCCCTTGCTGCCCTCGCTGCTCGCTGTTCGTGGTCGTACAGAGTCGGGACGGAAGCGTGGTTGGAGGCTCGGTACGTAGGCAGGAACGGAAGTCGCTGTGGTGCGGGTCGCAGCAGCGCGCACTCGATGGCCTATGCACAGCACGAGTCGTGGGTAAGGACAGTCGGAGCAAGTCTGGAAGGGTTGGCCAACAGTTCAACTTCGGGCGCCGAAAGAGCAAGTCTATAGATGGAGCGGGAGTGGAGCGTTGGACTCGAAAGCTCAGGGTCCATCACTGATCAGGGGACGATGTGGCGCTCAACTAGTGCTGGGTGGGATTCCGCACATATTGCCCATCTGCTGGTCGCGTACTCTGCCCAATTGAGGTTTTGGACCCTCCTGTTCTCCCGCAGCTGTCTACTGTACATGCGCAGCTACTGTAGAGACTATCTAGCACGCAAACGCGCATCGCATCCCAGGATTAAACATACGTTGCAGTCATGGCTTCGGAACGCGGTGCTAATCGAATCTGGCAACCCACCTTCTGTGTGTCGTCCCAGCCTTTGATGCAGCTGTCACAGCCTTCCGCTATCCAACGCGGCCCACTCTAACTCGATATGCGCGGCAAACGTGGTTCTGAATGCTTCTCTACAGCGCGTTCCAGGCCCCTGGAGTGGGATGGAGATGCCGGCGGGCGGTGCGCAATGCCCTCACGTCATCCGGCAGCTCTTCGCCCAAGAGTCCCCCAGCCAGTCAGGGTTGCAGCATCTAGTAGTACCGCAATAAGTACTAGGAGGGGCAGTGTAGCTTCCACGGCCGAAGGACTGGCGGGGCATCGATCGTCTCAAACACCGACGTATGCCGCTACGCGTGCCGCGCCATTCTGGTAGACATGTCGTGCAGGAGGACTGAGTGAGTCTCTGACAGTTTTCTGCTACCGAAGGGTTGGTTTATTTGTCAGTAGGCGACATGGACCGACACTTGTTCGATTCCCTGGCTTTGCATCTCACCAAATGCCCATCTCTTTGCGACAATGGCGATCTTTATAAATGAGGCGCCTCGTTCTCCCATGCAGCCGATGCGGTTAGATGGGCCTGACCGCTCTCGTTTCAGAATAAAGAGCCAGGCATTTCCCCGCACGTACCTTGCATCCGCCAATCAGCAGAGGAATCAGGGTGGGCTCCGTGGAACCGGCTAAAAGCAGGCCAAAGCGGTGCTCCTCTATGTAACATGGCCAGAGGAAGTAACGCATCCAGAGGCATCGAGCGCAATTCGCGTCTTGTTGGCAGGCTGTTACTTGCGACTTCCTCATAAAGTTTGTCGAAGCAGGAAGCAGCGACACGTGTGCCATCGACCAATCCGGCAGCCACGCCATCGGACCTCTGCACCCGAGAAGCAATGCACGGCTGCGCCTGCCGTTCCTATTTGCCACCCTTCACAGCATTCCTGCAGAATAGCCTCGGAGACTGATGCAGGGTGCCAGTGACTGCACCATGGGGTGTGCATTGTCACCGAAGTGGCTGCGTTCTTCGAAGGATCATCCAGGTTGCAATGAAGAAAAAGAAAGATTTTGCGAGGCACGTCATGTTCTATTACAGATAGTAAACGCGCAATTTACCTTAGCAATCTCGGTGGCTTTGCTGGTACGCATGCCTACACACTGAAGCACTTATACACTTTCATAAGTGCCCTGTGAGGCTGCCTACAAGTAAAGAGTCTTGCAATCTTTTCCCTAGAGCTTACTGGATACTCCTCTTTTCGAACGAAACTTTCTTACAGTGTCTAGTTGCACAAGCAGAAGGGAATGCGAAGCCGAGGCTGCGACGTCGTCGGCTCCAAGCCCGCTCAACTAGACACTGTTGGCGTCGTATGGTCCCCTCTTTCGACGCGAACGGACCCGCAGCGCGCTATATAGACCTGGAGATCATGCATAAGTGACATATCCGATGGAATGCTCAGGTTGCGCACTTCGACCTCTAAACTTTTGAAGCGAATGTAGATATGTCGAAATTACTACACCACATTCTTAATATCGCTGGAACAACTGCTGGTCATATCACGCTCAACCCTCTAGTCACGGCCGCTCTACTCTGGGTATTGACGAAAGGACCTACACAACTTCGCAGCCAACTTACAACTCGGATCCGCGCACTTCGGGACCCGTTTCGCTATGCACAGCTCGTGAAGGTTTTGAAGTGGTGCCTGATAGCTGGAACAGCAAGAGTCGTCAACAAGCAGCTTAACCATGTTGCCCTGAACGCAGGCAGATTGCGAAGTGAAAAGGCGAGATGGAACTGGAGCCGGGAGGTCGCAGTCATCACAGGAGGCTGCAGTGGTATTGGAGAGCTGGTAGTGAAGAGGCTGATCAACAAGGGAATCAGAGTGGCAGTGCTAGACATTCAGCAATTGCCTCCAAGTTTGCAAGGATGTAAGACACATGAATACTCACTACGCTGAGCTGCCTGGTACTAACGAAGACGACAGACGCCGGCCTCAAGTTCTTCAAGTGTGACATCACCGACTCCTCTGAAGTCTACTCAGTCGCCGAGAAGGTCAAAGAAACGATGGGGGCACCTACCATCCTCATCAATAATGCAGGGCTTCTGGCATCCCACACCATCCTCACTACGTCCGACGCGTACCTCCGAAAGATCTTCGATGTAAACGTCCTCAGCAACTGGTACACCACCAAAGCTTTCCTGCCAGACATGCTCCGACACAACAAGGGCCATATCGTGACGATCGCAAGCACGGCAAGCTTCATCGGTGTCGCTGGCCTGGCAGATTATACAGCGACGAAGGCGGCTATTCTAAGCTTCCACGAAAGTATGTTCCTTGTCCCATCTCTTAGCTGCAGTATGCTGACCCAAGTTAGCGCTCACCCAGGAACTCAAGCACCACTACAACAGCCCAAACGTTCTCACGACTTCCATACACCCTAATTGGGTCCGTACACCTTTGATAGAACCTGTGGAGCAGGAACTCAAGAGGCGAGGTTCTCCCATTCTTGAGCCGACTGCTGTTGCCGATGCAATTGTCGGACAAATCATGAGCTGCAGCGGTGGCCAAATCATCTTACCAAGCGCTGCGGGCAAGGTCAGCATGCTGAGGGGATTGCCGAATTGGGTACAGGAGAGTATCAGAAGCGGCGTGAGCAAGACGATCTACAATACCGTGAAATAAGTTTAATGGAATCCTGTGTGTGAGAATTCGCAACTTTAGCGTGTTGTGCTAGGAAGTACCACACCCATCACACACTGCATGCGGCCCCCGGGAAGAAATGTGCTGGCCTCGGCGGCACTCATGCAGCGAAACGCTTTGTGTGGTGGTACGAACATGACTTGCCGGTGCGAACCAACCCTTTACAGTAGGTTTGGGGGAAAAGCGTAGAAAACTGCATGCACTGTGCCGTGCCCTACGCATAAGGTGTGTGTGGGCTTTGCCGTGGTGCAGGTGTGCCGGTGCCATTCACATCGCTAGCGTATCGGTGAGTCGCGTCGGAACCGCCGAGGAACGCGTCGCGTCTCACTCAATCGACTACTTTACTACAACGACACACAACATCGCCCACACGACCTCAGCCGCTAAAACAGACGACGGAAAACATGGCAGAACCACAAGAAGATGTTCAGATGCATACCCAAGACATTGAGCTGGAGACACCACCTTCAGATGTCTTCATGGCACCTTCAATATCCAAATCAGGCATTCTTGGCGGGAAGTCATATTCGCACTTCTCGCCCATACCCAAGCAAATCGCAGATGACATGTCTGGAGAAGTCGTGCTAGGTGTCGATGAGGCTGGACGAGGTCCAGTCTTAGGTACTAGGCTCCTGTGAAAGTCTTCTTCATCACTAACGCATACAGGCCCGATGGTGTACGCCCTCTTTTACCTACCGATTGAACTCCACCATTCCCTTCTCGCCGAAACGCACCACTTTGACGATTCAAAAGTCTTGACTCCCGAAGTCCGCTCGAACCTGATGCGCAAACTGTGCACCCAGGGCTCAGATCTCTACGAAGCTGGTGGATGGGCAACACGCGTAATGTCTGCACAAGATATCTCAGCGCACATGCTGTCCCCAAATGTATACAACCTCAATGCGCAGGCCATGGATGCGACAATCGACCTGATCAAGGGAGTGCTGGCACAAGGCGTCAACGTCAAGGAGATCTACATCGACACAATTGGCAGACCAGAAATCTATCAGAAGAAACTAGAGAGGATCTGGCCCACGGTACGAATCACAGTCGCGAAGAAGGCTGACAGCCTATACCCCGTCGTCAGTGCAGCATCAGTATGCGCCAAAGTCACCCGTGACGCGGCCCTAGATGTTTGCTACGAGCCCTACCAGAAGCGCAACACAGCCGCGAACGAAGATGCCGAAGTCAAGGTGGCTTGGGGCTCTGGGTACCCATCAGACGCGCGGACAACGACCTGGCTGAAGCAGAACATGGACCCTTTCTTTGGCTGGGGTAGCGAGACGCGCTTTTCGTGGGGAACTGCGAAAGAGCTACTGGAAGGGAAAAAAGCGGATGTCGCTATTGACTGGCCTGCTGAAGATGACGGCAACGACATGCGTATGACAGACTTCTTCAGCGGCAAGAATGAAGGCGGCGGCGACGAACTGGTCGACTGGTTTGGGAAGCGTGTCACCCAGGAGATGGACGTATTTTGAACGCTTCATTCATAGAGACTGACACCACGAGAACCGCTGAGAGAACAAAACATGCAGGGCACAATGATCGGGCGCATTTATCGGTCCGTTCCAGACCCGCACAGGGCGTCAATATTGCAAGCAGGGTCTACCAACCGGTCAGCCCTACAGAAGCAACGTCATGCCCCGACCATGGGTTTGACTCGGTTGACGTACCCGCGCGCGAGTAAATATACCATCCAGGCAACACAGGCAACCTTTGAAGGCTTCATCTTCCCCATCAACCGGATAGAAGATATGATAAATCATACTAAAGCCATTTTCACGAAAAAGGTCCGCTTCTCAGTCGAACAAGTTTTTGTTTTTCGGTATTCAAAGTTTGGAGTGCGTGCGTGTCGGTAATTGACTGTACCAACGGTTGTACATACAGTGCACCAACCATGGGCGAAAGCCCGCGCTTCACAACAACAACCGTGCTCCAACCATGTCATTATATAGAAAACTCGAGTCACCGCCTCTGCACCGCCTTTTTGGACTCCCTGTACTTGTCAGCCCCAAACGCATACTTTACACCAGACACTGAAGACGTAAATATCTTTGGCGCAATCACCCGACGCTTTGTCTACCTAATCTTGTCAGGCGTAACCTATCTTTGAAACAGAAAACACTACAGTTCTCAAAATGCACAACGGCGACCTCGTTTATCAGACCCTCTCCCGAGAACTTAGCGGGTCCAGGCCGAATGGACGGAGAGGAGGAATAGCGAAGCGCGGAGAAGGCAGCCCATCCATAACACCTACCCGCCACGAGCAAGACACCGAAGCCTCGTACTTCCAGGGCGCGACGTTCACCAAAGAAGATGAAGAACCCAACCTCGACGCATATCCTCCCTCGCCACCGCTATCGCCCAAAACGACAGTACCACCAAAAGCGCCAACGAGACACCTCGCGGAACGCAAACGTGGCCATGTGCGTCATCGCACATCGTTGAAGCGCAGATCGAGCTGGAATCCAAATCTCAAGCAAGAGTTCCTACGACGGGCTTCGATCGACTCCATCATCGCACCGTTCAAAGATACGATATGGCTTGAATCAGAGCGTCGAGTCACGTCTGTGCGAAGGAGGAGCAGCGCGATGACTACCAGCGCTAGATCAATATCACCTCGTAGTCATGGAGACAGACGCAAGCCGCGGAAGCAGTCGACATTGCTGCACCCATCGTCGCCGGATGTCAAGCCTGTGGTTGATATCACTCCTGTCCATGCTGCCCCCGTGTTCAGAGGGACACATGGGTGGGATGCGTCAGTCGACTTCCCGACTCTCCGACCTACCATGCCAGCGAGAAAAGGCTCATCGCTTTTACATCCATCGCGCCCTTCGATCGACACTGTTGAACATAGGGAGCTGAAGACTGTCTTCTCTTTGCCGCCGAACCGTCTATGGGAAGATGACCGTCGCCGCTGAAGCCCTCGTTCACTGGAGCTTCAGCTTTCTCAACCAGCAGCTGCCATGCTTTTCATGATGTCGTCCCTGTCATGTGAACGTCAGTTGAACGAAGTAGCGGTGGTAATCCGGTCAATGTACCTAGGTACAAAGTCACTACTAGTGCCACACCAACGTTCATCCGGATTAGTGTCCCCCGCATTTATTCAACATTTATGCTTCAGTCGCCACTGCCGTCTATAAGTCGGCTGGTGTTCTGTTCTCAATCCACAAAACTTCCATCGCACTACATCCGCTCCCAACGATAGTGTATCACCAAAGGGCGAGACCATGACACCGCGAAACACAAACTTACCTTCGCGCCGCGACTTTCTCAGGGACAACCTCGTCGTCCACGACAATTGCGCTATCTGTACAGAGCCATTTGATACGGAACATCAAGCAGCATCCATCAAGACAACAAACTGCCAACACACATTTGGAATAGAATGCCTCACCCAATGGATAGAATCCGACCAGGACAACCACAACACCTGTCCCATCTGCAGAGAACAACTATTCTCTAAAATCAACAAGCCCGAATTTGTCGAAGGAGCACGAGACATAGTCGGCCCACATTACACAATGGCCCACCAGATCCAGACCTGGAGACCGGCCAAGACATTCGTCAAGAACATGTGGCGTGCCATGTACAGGCTCTACGAACGAGATCAGGTCATTTACGACTCTGACATTGAAGAGCATATCAACGCTAGGATGGTTCCTGGTTTCTATATATTCAGTGACCATTGGCCTGGAATCAGGGAAGAAGCTCGGAGGATGGTGCGAGAACACTATAGGAATGGAAGCTATGTTCCGCTCATAGGAATGCAGCTTAGGTTTTACTTGTACAACGTCGAGAGCGTGTTGGAATGGCAGATTGAAGACGAAGAATCGGAACATGAGGTGTCAGGTGATGAACCATCAGATGACGAGGCGTCACATGTTGAAGATGACGACGATGATATGTCGATGGCGGATTCAACGGAGTAAAAAGTCTAGGAAGCTTTCAGTCAGCTCTATCACCTGCTTTGCGCGCTCTGTACTAAAGCCGAGTACTCTTTCTTATTTGCGAGTCGAAGACGCCCGATGACTGTAGTCGTACATGCGGCATCACCATCTCCATTCTTTTCTGTATCAAAGCCTCACGATAGTGCACCGTACGGTTCCCGCCGCTTCTTAGCAATTTGGCGCTGCGCAAAGCCATCTGCGTACTCTTACCGCATTGGGCCAATTTCACACTCACCACAAAATCACTGCCGCGCCTTCACCGCTGATGATACCATGAGTGCCAAGACTTGCGGGATACAAACAACGCCTGCCTTTTGCCAACCTGACTACTTACACCTTCCGAATCCGCCAGCACCAAGACCATGGGCACGCCATTGAAGGATCGCGAGACCTTCCTCAGTCAGGGAATCGACGGGGATGTAAGTTGCGGTCTATGCGAGGGCAGAATCACACGTAAATACAGAGACTGACCCAATTCCTGCTTCCGATCGCTGACATTGTTTTTCTAGTACAAGATCAAGCCAGCCGTATACACACCGAATTGCATAGTTGTCACGGAGTATATTGCAGTTTCTGTCTAGCTGAACACTTGGAAGACAACAACACCTGTCCAATTCATCAAGATGTCGTCCTTTTCCACATGGCCCCCAAACCCGTCTTTGTATCAGGCGAGCGCAAAGCTATCGACACCCTTGATCAGATCCATGACGAGCATGCGGCTGCGGACTTCGTCTTCAACCTGATGTTCGCAACCAAAGCGTTATACGAGAACGAGTCAATATTCGAGTCCGACATTGATGAGAAGATAAACGAAGCCTTATCGCTCAGCGCTAAGAACAACAATTACAAGCATGGATTGCTCATAAAGGCAGCTCATTGGGCTGGTGTCTCTGCAGTCGCGAAAGAGATGGTCGAAATGCACTACAAAACTGAAGGCAAAGCTGAGTTGGTCGAATTAGCAAAGTCCTCGGATTGGCTGGCGAAGATGGCGAAGGCAGTGGGACTGAGAAAGTGGGATCGCTAGACTGCTCGTGTACCTTTGGTGTTATTCGACGCTGGAAACACGAATGGGGAGGACTTAACGATACGGGGAAGAGGAGCTGACCATGCGATCGGGTTACTGCTCATCATCCATCGAGGGGATACAGAAGGCACCCTGTATGGTGGAGCTATCATCTGTGGCTTTCAAGCCTATGTAGACGACAGATACGACAAATTCTAGTCTCACACCATCTGTCAAATTCGACTGTGATCAAAGGGTATCATTGTATTACCGATGCGATCTACAATTGATGCTTGCCAGCCCTAACTCGGTAGCCCTGCCCCAAAACGAGCGCGCCACACTGAAGAACGCGTCTAAAAAATACATGATTCAGCGTACCGCCAGCTGTGCGAATATGAGGGCTATGATACCTCCAAGTAGACTTAAAGCCAATACATAGGCTTCTACGAACACTCGAGTACTGGCATTGGTTTTTTTTGATAATGATATTTCTAAGAGTAAGACCTCACCGCACGAGACAACGAGCTCCCAACAACCCAAACTTTTATTGCCATTGTCATTGGCGTGCTAAATATCCGCATCAATCACCCAAATCCAACAGTCTCTTCTCAAGCATCTCGCAAGTCATCTCTCCCAAGCGCCCGTCTTACTTGCGCCTCGAATTCGCCTCAAACACCTTCCACTCTTCGACCGACTCCAGTAGTCTCTCTTTGCTCCAACCTCTTTCCAATCCCAACTTGTATGCGGCGCATGCGCTTTGGTAGATGTTGAGATCGTCGATCTTCAGGAGCTCACTGGATGCCGAGCGCTTGACTTCCTGCTTCAACTGGTAGTTGGCAGTTGCCATGGGGAGCTGCATGGCGGTTGACATCGCCTCGGCAATGCTTTCCCCGATGCCTTTCGCATGGCCGATATTCCCATCGGTTGGAGTTCTCGATGATATGAGCTCGCCGTCATCTTTGGCTTTGTTGCTGACTGTTCGCAGTGGGTTTGTGAAGCCCAGGTCCTGCAGCGCCTGCTATAGTCAGTGGAATATCGGGGGCCTGCAGTTGATCGTCACTTACTTGGTCTGTCTGCTTCGGTGTTGCTGGATGGCGCGATGGCAGGTTGTTGTTCGGGTTCATAATGATTCAACGCAGTTCTTGGGCGACTGTCTTGTGGTTTTGGTAGCGATTCAAGCGGGTGGTCTTATGCAGATTTAATGTTAAAGGCACAGAAAAGGCAAAGTGTTGGAGCGCACTTACTGAGGATATTTGAGACTTCCCGACTACTCACCGAGTGATTGCAGGAGCGGTGTACCCACGCTCTCTTACCTTATTCACCAACCGCTTTGTAAACATCTTGGGCTAGGAATAGTAGATATTCCATCCACTCTGATCAACGGCGACGTTTCGAGGTCGTCTGCAACTGCAGTGGTGACACTCATCGTCGCAGGGGCGGTGATGTTGTGCGCAGTGAGGTTTAAGATAGTGACTTCGCAAAGAATGGCTGGTGCGTTTTGTAGAAGTACAAGGCAATGTATAGAGATGCTTTGAATGATTTGGCAGGAATCATGGTAAGAAATGGCCGGATGTCCTTCGTAGCTCAAAAGTTCGTGAAGAGGTGTGCGCAGTCGCAGAGCCGACATCTAAGACAGTCAAAGATAACTTATTTGTAGCACACTCACTGTGCAACAAGGTAATATACTTGAGAATGAGTTCTGAGTTATGCGCGGATGTCGTGTTGTTGTCTTGTAGGCATGTGGTGATGGTGTTCCGCCAAACCTCAAAAAGTTCCCCATCATCCACCTCCACCCACACCTCTCCCACCACCACCACAACACCGCGACGACGTCTAGAACGCCAAAAAGAATGCATCGGCCGGGAATCGAACCCGGGGCTAGCCGAAACTGTCCTGTGAAGGATGGCAACGGCTAATTTTACCACTAAACCACCGATGCGAAAAGATGGATGCTAAGACAGCTGGAGCTGTGAATGTGACCTAACCAGGGGTCGCAGCGGGGGTGTCAGCTTTGCGATTCGAATAGGAGGCTTCTGAGAGCTACTTACAACCTGGAATCTCTTGATATCGAACGGAGTCGTAGTCAAGCGCCTTGCCATTGGGCCATTAGGCCAGTTGTTGCTTAGTAATGATGGAAAGCTGTCGTTTGTGATCGTATATAATGACAGTCAATGAAGGATAGCGAGGATTGAAGTTTGTCGGTATGCAAGAGGTGGTTTGGTGGGGCACTGTTGCGGCAAACTTTTCTCTAGTGAGGGGATTCGATGGTGGGGCATCTCGACCGACCCTGTCAGGAACACCATTTTCATTACCTGAGCATTTGCAACTGTCTCTACCTACGTGGTTTAGTTAGCATCTACAGATCTGGCAAGATACTTTGGATGCCTTTACTGTTCCTCGATGAACCCCGTGTTGATCCAATTGTTAGAGCTGGTACCTACGACTACGCCGGAATCAACCGAGCTTCAGACTCTGATTCAGCAAGGCGAAGTATCTTTGACGTGGGCCATGAATGATTTCAAAACACTCCCATGGTATGGTAACCATTCTGTTTAGTCCCATGAACAAAGTCTGGGCATTTCTTTGCCCTCTCGTCGGCATGCAATCGGATAAGAGGTTTATCGTGACGAACTTAATGCGGAGGTAGCGAGGTGTTGTAGTATTCATTTCTGCTCCATGTCTGCAGCTCTTCCGGGCTTCTCACCATTCTTCAAGAACATCGGCGTTTACGACGCTTCATCCATACTTTTGAGGAAATGCGTGAAGCGGCGCGTCGAAACCCATACTCTTACCGGCATTTCACGTCCCCAAAGTAAATCTGTCCAACCTTTCAGACACCGGGCGAGCGAGATGCGGCCGTGCTATTTCCATAAGGCGGGGAGAGCGACTAGTTGAATCCTATCGATGGCACCGGGCACTATTCGAATCAAGCTGCCCGCGTCGTGCAGCTCGCACTGGCTTTCGATAGCAGGAGCGCGCTTAGGTCTCTGCGGAAGGCATGTGCACTCAGTGCTTTTCGCTGCCGTAAGGCACCTAACAGGCTGTCCATTTGGGGCAAGAAGAGCGGTCGTATCCATGTTGTGGTATCTGAATATCCAACAGCTCCAAGGGCTTGGTATGTAGTGGAATTGAGCTTCTCAGTCGCGCGCGTTACCCGGCGAGGTAGATTTGTATGCGACTCCAGTCACACCGAATCCACAAAATCGACGTCATTAAACCCCATACTCTAGCACTGCCACCACCATGATAACATGTTCAAGCGCTTTCTGTCTCTTATCCGCAGGTCTTCAGGGCAGCTGCGCCAAGCCGGCAGTCATCCGGCGCGGCGTGTTGCTTGCCTTATTCTTCAACAACGGATCTCTGCCTGTTCGCTTCTAGTGTACGATAAACAATGAACATGGGGTACGGCACAGTAGTCGCTGCCAGGTACACTGCTTCCAATCAACCTAGTCCTGACCACTTTAGGCGGGCAACTATGGCTCTTATGCAGCATAGCCAACTACTCCGGAGTATATCATGGCTAACATGTCCTCTACGTAGTATGGTCACGTTGCTTACTTTGATACGTTCCTTTCCGCAGCTACGACCTCTAGCCAAATACGATGGCTACTGCAAATTTCCTACCCGCCTATTTACTCATAGCAATCACTCTCTTACAGTCCTGTTTCGCCCAGCTCAACGATAACACACCATGGTGTCCTATTACAACGCCTACGTACAACTCCTCTGGTCAGACCGGGTTTCAGATGACATCCAAGGAAGACTGGTATATATCGCTCGCCGTGAACGACCGCCGGGAGTCCAGTTACAGTTCGACTACTGCTTATATCAGCCATCCAGAGTTGACAAGCGTAACTATGGGTTGCTTCCATCGGTTCAAAGCCATCAATGCTTCAGCGACGGGACCAGGCGAGAACGGTTGCGAAGGTGTGCTGAGTGCTGAGTGCATGGATGTATTGCGGGAAATATCTTTTCCATCTGTGACTTCTGGGGTCTCCATGGACGACATGGAATGTGAGGACATCGACAGCGATCGGATTAGAGATGCTTGTCCCAGCGAAATACTGGCCCCGTTGATTGTGAAGAGTGAGTGTTTGCATCTTTCCTTGTGATAGCACTGGTTGCTAATGAAACAACGCAGCCCCAGTTCTCGGCTTCTCGAACGAGACATGTGATGATAGACCGCCACCAGGAGAACGTGTGCCTGAGCGATACCACACAAGGCTCATGGATACTTATTCGATTAAATACGATCAACGGGACCGTGAAGCGGGCAGCTTCGAATCGTATGACGTTTCCGTCAAGCGGCCTGTACCATCCGTGTTCGCGGCTTACCTTGCCAACGGCACGACAGAGACACACGTCATATGCGTCACACCCGACCATGTGGCTGAGGGTAGCCGAGAACCAAAAGAAGAAGAGCCATGGGATCTCCTGGAGAGCACCGGTGCGCGCAGGTCTTGGGTGATAGCTGGACAGGTGGCAACGGTAGTCGCAATCGCAGTAGTCGTCGCAGGGTACTGAGATGAAGGGCTGACGTTCAGTAAACTAAGGAACAATGATCAAGTGTGAAGAACAACATTAGCCTTAGCGCGTCAAATACTTCACCGAAGCTTATGCAAACAACCAGTCTATATGATTTTGACCAGACAGCGTGCACATCGCTCCGGCTCTGTACATGCGGCGACTGACTTCCGGCATTCGTGCAACCAGCGTGTTTCTCCACAGTCACACCATCGAGGCCTTTTCGCATCAAAATAGAACCCCCTCAAAGGCTTTTTAGGTGTAGGGCGAAGATCGAGCGCCTGTGCGGTAGATGGGAGTTTGATGCGTCTCTCGAAAGGCTCAGTGATCCTCGTCTGTAACTAGTCGCAGCGCTCGAGGCCCCTCGGAGGGGTTGACGGGACTGTGTGTTGATGGTCTGCGGGACCGGAAGGAGACATTTGGGTCGGGTTGCGGCAGACGCTGTGCTGTGCGCATGCGCCAGTGTAGGAATGATGGATAGCTTCAGGGCGTCAATT